TTATTTATACTTGGTATAAAGACAATCATGTAAACAATAAGGTAGTAGCAAAACTGACTTGATTTTTAAAGACATATTAACACTTTTAATTAATTTTGTAATTTCAAAATTGAGAATTAACATGTTAGATTCCTATCAACTCATAATGGACCAGATCCTGCTGGGAAGATATATTCTTTTGTGGCTCAAAGAACATATCTGTGGTTTTTAAGCAATGTACTATGGTTCAGAACCCTCAGGAGCCACACTCTTCCTCTGCTTCCCCTTCAACTAGGCACAGTGGTTTCCAATCTATGGGTGGCACCACAGTTTGCCACGATGATAAGGGGAAGGATTACCCTACTGAGACCGAGTTGGTGGAGGCCACCAGAGATAAGGACAGTACCACCAACAAGGAATTGTCCCATCCAAACTTCCAGTGGTATCCCCAATGAAAAATACCAATTTAGAGAAATATTGTTTTTTATCATTTTCTGCGTTGGGTGGGGTAAGGGAGAAGTGATATATCTTGCACAGAAAATTTACATGAAAAGAGTGGGCTATTCATATAACAGGTTCTGGTCCAAATAATCAAAAGTAATTTAAAAATATGATTTTGATGTGAACACTCATTTCCCCAAATTACACTGCACTAACCTACTCAAAATTTCTGACATTTCCTTGGCCATTTGTTCCCTATAAGAAAAATGATATAATATGGTTATATAAAAGACACACTACATAAATTTCTTACAAGATCTAAAAGTATAATTAAAATATTTTCAATATGATTGATTTATTAACTATTCACATTTATTTTACTTTGTAAACGTCTATATATACTTTTCACCAAATCTAGCCATAAAACACAGTAAAATTTTTGTTTAAATCCAGTTAAAGTTATTTAAACACATCTCCATTTTTGTAGTAGCAACTTTTAGATAAAATCTCATGAAAGCCATGCTTCTGTGGTATTTTTTTATGCACAGAATACAAATATCATGTTCTAAATGCATACAGGAAACTTGGCAGGATACAGATGCTATATGAGGATTTTTGCTCCAGAGTTGCTTAGTAAATATTAATTAGACAAAGAATGGTGGTAAACTAAGCTGATGTATTTTACAGTGTCAGAGTTTTAAAAATAATCTGATGTATTCAAAGCTCTGAAATTCTAAATCAAAGCATGCTTTTTTAAAGAAGAGAATATCAATACAAAGACTTATTAAGTGAAAGATCTGAAGCATTCTGACCTTCTAAGGATAAACATTTCCCAAAGGCAAAAACTTATTTTTCTTTTAGTGCCCAGAGACAGTAACTTTTCTTAATATTTGTTTAATTCTGTGGAATGGAATGAAGTTTCATTGTGTTCATCAATACTTCACTAACTTCATTATTTTATTTCCCTGCTCTTTTCCTTCATCATTATTTTCTCATTCATTCTACTCATCACTCTGATAACCTCAAAACCTTACAAATCAGTAAAAATCATAAGAAAAGAAGATGGTAAGGCACCATTTCCTGGATGCCTGCCAAGAGCTGGGATCCTCACTAAAGAGACAAGGGACTCCTGTATTCCTCTATTCCTCTTTCCGTGTGATAAACACTGGCTACAATTACGTACTAGTGAATGTCTATCCCAGCAAGCACGGCCAGCAAAAAAGTAATCTTTCAAAACTGACGATGGAGGACAGCAAACATAAAATAAAATACACCAATATAATCTAATAAAAATTCTATTTTGAGAAATACACTTATCAATCTCTTTATGCTAGTAATTTCTCAGAATTTCTAACTTTTAAACTCAGCATGATTTTGACAAGTATTTTTTAATTCTATTATCATCCCACCTCACGGTTTCTGTCTCAGTATCCAAGAGCATCTGTTTTTACCATCTCTTTCTCCTGATGCTTCCTCCATTTCTTTTCCCACAGCAGGCTTCAATCAAGGAATTCCATGTCCTTTCAAAGCTCATTACCATTTGGTCTGTTGATCATATAAAGACTTCCCTGTATACCTTGACACTACAATAGATGGCAATCTCTACTGATTCATTATCCTACCTGACCCTACACCAAGACATGCCTGGCCTACACCAAATATATACCAAATTCACAGATAGAAATGGTTTCTGCAGCCAGGTGCTTTTTTTCTGATTTTACTAAACTATATGCAAATATTCACAACTTCACCTTAGACAATGGTTGTGGGGCTTATTTAATTCAAGCTCAAATGGTAACTATAAAGCAGCTGTCTAATAATGGAGGGCAACAGTGTCTGCTCAGAGATATTTGCACAGTTTTTGGTGGCACTATGGTAACAGTGATGTTGTGGTAGTGCACTCCTTATTTGTTGAGGTACAAGGTCAGGAATGCCAAATGTACTGCACAAGGAGGAACTAACTGTCCCATACCCTGTGTAACTTTAACATGTCCATCAGACATACAGAGGTGAAACACAAACACATATTTTACATGTAAGCAAAGTTTTACATGCAAACAACATATTTTTGC